AATCCTACTGGGCTTGCAGTAAAAATAATCCTACTGGGCTTTGCGTAAAAATAGTCCTAATGGGCTTGCTGTAAAAATAATCGTACTGGGCTTTCTGTGAAAATAATCCTACCTGGATTGCTGTAAAAATAATCCTACTAATCTTGCTGTAAAAATAATCCTACTGGGATTGCTGTAAAAATGTAGACAGCCTGTAGTGTCTGCACAGACAGTCATGCTGTCTGCCAGCTTAGTTCATATTTCGCGCCAGTAAAGTGCTGCCCTCTGGGCCTGTCCAGGTCAGTGGCAAGCTGGTCTCACACACTCACTCACACAGCGGCCTAGCAGGAAGACACGAGGCCTACTCCTCTCTCCGTCATGGGCATGGCCCTCACGGGCCATGGGCACAACACACAAGCCTGTGTACCCACTACGACATTTGCAAAGCAAAAAGAAGCCTCCGAAGACGTTTATCATTTACTCCCCGCTACCAGCATCACCAAATAATCTTGTTATAAAAACAATCCTACTGTATTTGTTGTAAAAATAATCCTACTGTGCTTGATGCAAAAATAATCCTACTGGCTTGCTGTGAAAATAATCCTACTGGGCTTGCTTTAAAAATAATCCTACTGGGCTTGCTGTAAAAATAATACTATTGGGCTTGCTGTAAAATAATCCTACTGGCCTTTCTGTAAAAATAATCCTATTGGTTTTGCGGTAAAAATAATTCTACTGGGCTTGCTGTAAAAATAATCTGACTGGGTGTTGCGTACAGGGCCACTACTTAAGCCTGTTTAGCCCTTTCTTGCAACAAATTAACAGGACTGAATATCCTGTTCTAGATGAAATCATTCAAGGTTTCAATTGTAAACAATCACAATGTTTCTTTCCGGTTTTTTATTAAGTTTCTTAATAAACCATAGAAGGGTTTTATATTAACTTTAAAAAGGTCGCACCATAAAACAGAGTACTCATGAAATTTACACTTAAGTTCACTTAAAAGATAATACACAGTATTATCTTGATTATAGTACTGAACGGCTCTAGTATCATAACACCTTCTCTTCACATAATAACACTTTACTTAACTCAATCCAAATGAGACAGAAGACGTAACACTTCAATAATAATTCACTCTTATTCAACATTCATAATATACTAAGTGAGATTAGGAATATTTTACACTTAAAAGAATTTTGAGGCGAGTCTGTCTCCCATGACTTTTTCACCGTCCTCTTTGAACCAATACTGCTTAAATTCACTCCTAGCAGAGCTAGAGACAATCACCAGCGTTTCCAAAACAGCAACACACTTCGTCCGAGACGTTTCTGTCAGATAAGGTCCGAGGTACTGGAGGGTCACTAGGGAACCTCATGTGGGACCAGAAGTTTAAATCCAGGAATCAGGGAGCTTCCCTCACGAGAGGTGAGCAAGGTAAGAACTGAACTCTGTGAGGCTTTACCAGCCCACTTTGCCTCGGTCGGAGCAGGGGTCGAGCAGCTCAAAACACCTACTGGTGCTTGGCCAGGTCACCAGCAGTTGACACTAATTAAATGACCTACCTAAATACAAAGCTAAGTAATACGACCAGATAATATTATAAAGTCGAGTAAATCCATTTTAGCTACTAATGGAATTACTACTGAATATAATATTAAGTGAAATAGCAAAAATAACATGTAATAGTATACCATTGTGATAATAAGAAGAAAATGAACAAAATGAACAAAAGGGTGTAACACTGGGCTTGCTGTAAAAATAATCCTATTGGGCTTGCTAGAAAAATAATACAATTGGGCTTTCTGTAAAAATAATCCTACTGGGCTTGCTGCAAAAATAAACCTATTGGGCTTGCTGTAAAAATAATCCTACTGGGCTTGCTGTAAAAATAATCCTACTGGGTTTGCTGTAAAAATAATCCTACTAGTCTTGCTGTCAAAATAATCCTACTGGGCTTGCTGTAAAAATAATCCTACTGGGCTTGCTGTAAAAAATAATCCTACTGGGCTTGCTGTAAAAAAATAATCCTACCGGGCTTTCTGTAAAAATAATACTACTGGGCTCGCTGTAAAAATAATCCTACTGGATTTGCTGTAAAAATAATCCTACTGGGTTTGCTGTAAAAATAATCCTACTGGGCTTTCTGTAAAAATAATCTTACTGGGCTTTCTGTAAAAATAATCCTATTGGGGTTGCTTTAAAAATAATACCATTGGGCTTGCTGTAAAAATAATCCTACTGGGCTTGCTGTAAAGATAATCCTACTGGGCTTGCTGTAAAAATAATCCTACTGGGCTTGCTGTAAAAATAATCCTACTAATCTTGCTGTAAAAATAATCCTACTGGGCTTGCTGTAAAAATAATCCTAATGGGCTTGCTGTAAAAATAATCGTACTGGGCTTTCTGTGAAAATAATCCTACTGGGATTGCTGTAAAAATAATCCTACTAATCTTGCTGTAAAAATAATCCTACTGGGATTGCTGTAAAAATGTAGACAGCCTGTAGTGTCTGCACAGACAGTCATGCTGTCTGCACAGACAGTCATGCTGTCTGCAAGCTTAGTTCATATTTCGCGCCACTAAAGTGCTGCCCTCTGGGCCTGTCCAGGTTAGTGGCAAGCTGGTCTAACAAACTCTCACTCACACAGCGGCCTAGCAGGAAGACACAAGGCCTACTCATCTCTCCCTCATGGGCATGGCCCTCACGGGCCATGGGCACAACACACAAGCCTGTGTACCAACTACGACATTTGCAAAGCAAAAAGAAGCCTCCGAAGACGTTTATCATTTACTCCCCGCTACCAGCATCACCAAATAATCTTGTTATAAAAACAATCCTACTGTATTTGTTGTAAAAATAATCCTACTGTGCTTGATGTAAAAATAATCCTACTGGCTTGCTGTAAAAATAATCCTATTGGTTTTGCGGTAAAAATAATTCTACTGGGCTTGCTGTAAAAATAATACAATTGGGCTTTCTGTAAAAATAATCCGACTGGGCTTGCTGTAAAAATAATACAATTGGGCTTTCTGTAAAAATAATCCTACTGGGCTCGCTGTAAAAGTAATCCTACTAGTCTTGCTGTCAAAATAATTCTTCTGGGCTTCCTGTAAAAATAATCCTACTGGGCTTGCTGTAAAATAATCCTACTGGGCTTGCTGTAAAAATAATCCTACTGGGCTTTCTGTAAAAATAATCCTACTGGGCTCGCTGTAAAAATAATCCTACTGGATTTGCTGTAAAAATAATCCTACTGGGTTTTCTGTAAAAATAATACCATTGGGCTTGCTGTAAAAATAATCCTACTCTGCTTGCTGTAAAAATAATCATACTGGGCTTTCTGTAAAAATAATCCTACTGGGTTTGCTGTAAAATAATCCTACTGGATTTGCTGTAAAATAATCCTACTGAACTTGCTGTAAAAATAATCCTTCTGGGCTTGCCTTAAAAATAATCCTACTGGGCTTGCTGTAAAAATAATCCTACTGGGTTTGCTGTAAAAATAATCCTTCTGAGTTTGCTGTAAAAATAATCCTACTGGGCTTGCGGTAAAAATGATCCTACTACTCTTGCTGTAAAAATAATCCTACTGGGCTTGCTGTAAAAATAATCCTACTAATCTTGCTGTAAAAATAATCCTACTGGGCTTGCTGTAAAATAAACCTACTAATCTTGCTGTAAAAATAATCTTACTGGGCTTGCTGTAAAAATAATCCTACTGGGCTTGCTGTAAAAGTAATCCTACTAGGCTTGCTGTAAAAATAATCCTACTAATCTTGCTGTAAAAATAATCCTACTTGGCTTGCCGTAAAAATAATCCTACTTATCTTGCTGTAAAAGTAATCCTACTGGGCTTGCTGTCAAAATAATCCTACTGGGCTTGCTGTAAAAATAATCTTGCTGGGCTTGCTGTAAAAATATTCCTACTGGGCTTGCTGTAAAAATAATCCTATTGGTTTGCTTTAAAAATAATCCTACTAGGCTTGCTGTAAAATAATCCTATTGGGCTTGCTGTAAAAGTAATCCTACTGGGCTTACTGTAAAAATAATCCTACTGGGCTTGCTGTAAAAATAATCCTACTGGGTTTGCTGTAAAAATAATTCTATTGGGCTTGGTGTAAAAATAATCCTATTGGTCTTGCTGTAAAAATGATTTTACTGGGCTTCCTGTAAAAATAATCCTACTGGGCTAGCTGTAAAAATAATCCTACTGGGCTTTCTGTAAAATAATACCATTGGGCTTGCTGTAAAAATAATTCTACTTGGCTTGCTGTAAAAATAATCCTACTGGGCTTTCTGAAAAAATAATCCTACTGGGCTTGCTGTAAAAAAAATCCTACTGGATTTGCTGTAAAATAATCCTACTGTGCTTCTTGCTGTAAAAATAATCGTACTGGGCTTGCTGTAAAAATAATCCTAATGGGCTTTCTGTAAAAATAATCCTATTGTTAGTGATGTAAAAATAATCCTACTGGGCTTGCTGTAAAAATAATCCTACTAATCTTGCTGTAAAAATAATCCTACTGGGATTGCTGTAAAAATAATCCTACTAATATTGCTGTAAAAATAATCCTACTGGGCTTGCTGTAAAAATAGTCCTTCTGGGCTTGCTGTAAAAATAATCTTACTAATCTTGCTGTAAAAATAATCCAACTGAGCTTGCTGTAAAAATAATCCTACTAATCTTGCGGTAAAAATAATTCTATTGGGCTTTCTGTAAAAATAACCCTACTGGGCTTGCTGTAAAAATAATCCAGCTGGACTTGCTGTAAAAATGTTCCTACTGGGCTTGCTGTAAAAATTATCCTATTGGTTTGCTGTAAAAATAATCCTACTAGGCTTGCTTTAAAAACAATCCTACTGGGCTTGTTGTAAAAATAATTCTACTAGGCTTGCTGTAAAAGTAATCCTACTGGGCTTGCTGTAAAAATAATCCTACTGTGTTTGCTGTAAAAATAATCCTACTGGGTTTGCTGTAAAAATAATCCTACTGGGCTTGCTGTAAAAATAATGCGATATGGCTCGCTGTAAAGATAATCCTATTGGTCTTGCTGTAAAATTGATTTTAGTGGGCTTGCTGTAAAAATAATCCTTCTGTGCTAGGTGCAAAAATAATCCTACTGGACTTTGTGTAAAAATAATCCTAATGGGCTTGCTGTAAAAATAATCTTACTGGGCTTTCTGTGAAAATAATCCTACTGGGATTGCTGTAAAAATATTCCTACTAATCTTGCTGTAAAAATAATCCTACTGGGATTGCTGTAAAAATTATCCTACTAATCTTGCTGTAAAAATAATCGTACTGGGCTTGCTGTAAAAATGTAGACAGCCTGTAGTGTCTGCACAGACAGTCATGCTGTCTGCCAGCTTAGTTCATATTTCGCACCACTAAAGTGCTGCCCTCTGGGCCTGTCCAGGTCAGTGGCAAGCTGGTCTCACACACTCTCACTCACACAGCGGCCTAGCAGGAAGACACAAGGCCTTCTCTCTCCCTCATGGGCATGGCCTTCACGGGCCATGGGCACAACACACAAGCCTGTGTACCCACTACGACATTTGCAAAGCAAAAAGAAGCCTCCGAATACGTTTATCATTTACTCCCCGCTATTATGTCCTAGAATCTGTATTGATAAAGCCACTGGATGGCGAAACGTCTACAATAAAGATATCCAGATGTTGCACATGTGTCTTAACTTTCATATTGTTGGTATTTTATACCTTTCTTGCACAACTTCTCAGACACTGCAACATCATGGAATCTTGGTTCAGAGGACATCTACAAGACCTTCTTCACGGCTGCTGCAACTAACCCATCTCTTTGGGAAGGACCTACTTCCACTGGGGAATCCCGCCTACCAGTGACTATGCCCTCGTCTGCTGCCCGTCCCTACCCACTGACGCCTATATAACCGCCAGTCTTCTTGTCTTTGCTCCAGATTCTCCTCCACCACGATGCTGTGAACACTAACTCCAAGGCCGAGGGACTGATTACCTCATCTTTTGTATATAGTTCTACTGTCTCCCTATTATGTCCTAGAATCTGTATTGATAAAGCCACTGGATGGCGAAACGTCTACAATAAAGATATCCAGATGTTGCACATGTGTCTTAACTTTCAAGTCTTCATTTCATGCTCATGTATTGTATTGATACATGATACACTTGTACTAATTTTTTCAACGTTTTCAAAAAACACCAAAAATTTGCGAAAGGTTGGGGGGGTTAGGGTAAGCAAACCCTTAAAACCCAAGACAGCAATCCCCAAAAGCGAAATTTTAATAAGGAAAATAGTTTTACTGGGATTTATTTTCAAGAAGTGTAAGCAAAAAGAATTTCCCAGAGGTCATACGGGAAAAGGGTTTTTTATACATCATTAGTAAGGCCCCACCGGGATTATCAGCTAAATTTTCGGGTTTCCCCAAATATTACAGAATGGCCCAAAAATTTCCCATTAGAAAACATTCAGGTAGGATGATTTAATTAATACATAGCTTTAGAAACCCTTCCTTAAAGAAAGATTGAAGACTCTTAAGTTACATTCACTTGTTAGAGAAAAATGGGGGGGAGACCTGATCGAAGTGAAATAAGGGGGAAGATAGGTATTAAAAAAGGGGGAAGGGTTAACAAGGTCTTGAGGATATCTTTTCCAAGGGAAAAAACCCGCAGTAAGGGTTTTTAAATTAGATAAGTTTAGTTTTAAAAAAAGGACATAGGAAAGGGTTTTGGGTTTTGGGAAAAAATGGTATAAAATACCACACAATGGCAATTAAACACAAATGCGGGTTAATGGGGACCCTTTATTGACTACGTTTTTCGCCCAAAACGTGGCTTTTTCAAGTCACAAAAAATTACCGGGTGGAAGGAACGCAAAGTATTTAAAGTCCGGCTGGGGTCGGGTGAAAATTTGCTCCTCTGTGAGAAACCGATTTGGGGTTTTGTAGAGTCAAAAAAAACTTGGGTATTTTGGAAAGGGGGACTGGAAGTTTGTGACCAAAATTTTCTACAGTGTTTTTTAAAGGGGGAAAAGCGATGAAAAAGTTTTGGAAAAGGGGTTCAGCTTGTTATAGAAACCCATTATTCGGGGGTTAAAGGGTTGTCGGATAAGAAATAATGATGTTTCCCCAGGTTTCTTCGGTATTGGTGTTGTTTCTGGGCGATAATTTTCTTGAGTTTCTGTGTTTATCAATGGTTTTTTGTTTTTTTAACGGTGTTGAAAAGGGCAGGCATTCCTTGTGTGTCAGATCTGCTTGGAAATTGGTTTTTCTAAAATTCGTTTTTGGAGGCCCCTTGTTTTTTCGCCCCTAAAACCCTTGTTGCAGTCATTACAAGGGATTATTTTTACCCCTTTGCAAGGATGGAGGCTTGTCCCCCCTTTACTACTGGTGATGTCCTTGATGGTCGTGGTTGGGGAAAGGTGGGATTTTGGGAAATATCATTTCCAGCCCCCTCTAAAACACTGGTGATCTTCTCAATCGCATTCGAAACTTTAAACATAAAGGAACAAAAAAAACTTTCCAGCCTTGACGTACTTCCCTTTTTCCTAAAGTCCTACTAAACAACCATCGATCTCTTGCGCAAAAAAATTTTGACGTTTTAAACCTTGATTTTCCCATTCCAGCCGCGACTTATCGACCGGGTTTAAAATTTATGTGTTGGTTTTAAGGTGTTTCTCTTTTCGAAAATCCCCTTTTTTCAGCAAAATTTTTGGGGACTCCCCAGGGGTTTTTCCCCAACTCGGCAGTCCTAACAAACCTATACAGGGAAAACATCTAGAACCGAACGTTTCCCCCATTTTCCCTTCGTCTGTCACCTGGCTCCGTTATTTTTGACGCTTTCCCTCCTCATAACTTTTAAACGTTTCCCAACTTTTAAGCTCTCCAAGACAAGCTCAACCGGGTCGACCCTTTCAATCCAGTTAAAACTTGAAGAAGGGGTCGAAAAACCTCTTCCTTTCCTTGATTTCTACTCTGCAAAGTTTACACAAAACTTCTTTTTTAAAAGTCTAAAAAAACCCCCCAACCCAAAAAACAAAATCTTCCCCCATTCTACTCTCACCCCGAAAAACCAAAACCCAAAACGGGGTTTGGTAAAAAAAGGGCCCTTTTCCTGCGGCACCAGAATCTCCCAGAAACCCGGGGGTTCCTTGGGGAAAGGAATCCCACTATAATTGAACGGGTTTTTTCCCAAACTCCATTTTCCCTTTCGTCACTTCACTGAGCCCTGCAGACGGCGAGCACTAAACATCTTCAACACCCCCAAAAAGGGACACGCCGAGAAGGAAACATAGCCCTTTCCCCCACCAACTCCATTCCCAAAACCATTTTTTCCAACATCTTTCCCAAAAAAACATATTCCAAGTTTTCAACCTCCAAAACCCACGACCTTTCAAGGACTTTCACCATTAGTAGGCGGACAAGCCTCCCCCTCTGCAGGGGTATAAAAATTTTCCCTTGTAATGACTGCAAAAAAGGGTTATACGTGGGCGAAACTTAAAGGGCCCCTCCAAACACGTATTTCAGAAACACCAATACGCAAGCAGATTTTGAGGGACACAAGGAATGCCTCCCGTACAACACCGTAATTCACACAACCCTTGATAAACTACAGAAACCCCAAGACTTAAACGCCCCCCCCCAGAAACAACACTTTAAAACCGAAGAAACCTGGGAAACATCACTTATTTCAAAATCCCACAACTTTAACCAGAAAAAGGGGGCTTTATAACATAAACTGAACCCAAATTGCCAAGAAAAATTTTCATCGCAAACCCACATAAGAACCCCTGTTTGAAGGGCGCTCACAAAACCTTTGGTTTTCCCCCCGTCTCCTTTCCAAGCTACCCAAATTTTTAGACCTAAACCCAACTCGGTTTTCAAACATCAGATGCGCATTCCCTTTACCTGCCCCAGCCGACTTTTAAATACTTGGTTCCTTCCCCCCCGGTAGTTTTTGTTTTTTGACTTAAAAAGCCCACTGTGTGGGCGAAAAATTTGTCAATAAAGGATCCATTATAAAAGCCTTTGTGTTTTTTATTTCCAAAATTTGGTTTGGAAATAGGGTTTGTAGATGAGGGAAAAGTTTACCAAATTGGGTTATTGGGCTAGGACTTTTTTTGTTTCAAATTTTAAAGGGTTTGGGTAAAAAACCCTGGGGTGGGATGGGGTTGGGTTTGAGGGGACTTGCACATCAGAGCTTAAATTTTTTGGGGGGGTTGAAAATTGGGGGAGGTCAAATGTTTTTTAGTGGGAAAGAATTGTAAGGACTTGCTAGTATGGGGCCAACAGGCCTGCTGCAGTGTTCCCCCTTTCTTATGTTCTTATGTTTTTATGTAGAACATTTCGCTTTTTTTCCGTCGCTCAAAGACTGAGGCCCAAAAAGCATTTCCCCCTGACTGGGATATGTTTTTTGACCCAAAATCCGGGGAATTTTAAAAACCCCCTGTTTTGTTGTTATTTTTATATTCAAAAGGGGAAAATTTCATTTAATTTTTTTTTTTGGAGTGTCTGAAGTCATCTTAATTCAGGAACATATTCACAGAAACATTTAATTTAAAAGAATTGTTTTTTTGACCCCAGAAAAAATAAATAACAGAATTTTTTTATGACCACAGAAACCCTAAATAAAAGAAATTTTTTAAAGACTTCCCCAAACATTTAAAAAAAAAAAATTGTTTTATGACCACAAAACATAAATAACAGAATTGTTTTTGGGCCCCAAAGGGGCATTGAAAAAAAGGGTTTAAAAAAAAATTTGGAAAAAAAGGTTTTAAAAAAAATTTGGCTTTAAAAAAATTTTAAAAAAAAAAAAAAGGGGAAAAAAAAAAAGGGAAAAAAAAAAAAAAAAAAGAAAAATTTGAAAAGGGGGAAAAAAAAAAAAATTTTTAAAAGAAAGCCTTTGTTTTAAAACCCCCCCACCCACCCCCCCCACCCGGAAATCCCCGGCCCCCCCCCCGCCTTTCCCCCCCCCCCCGGCCTTTTCCCCCCCCCCCCACCCCCCCCCCCACCCCCCCCCTTTTTTCCCCCCCCCCCCCGTTTCCGACCCCCAACCCCCCAA